ATCGCACATGGGTTCAACGAGATAATGACTCTCTAGATGTTCCGAGTGTGTAGCGACTTAGCGAGTGATGACATGTGTTGGGAACTGTTTGTCTACCGCATGCGGAGACCAGCGCCATCTAATACATGTACAACAACGATTACTGTCATTTTAGCATCCAATGTTTAGCATTACAATTTTCAATGCAAGAAAATGTACAGAACCTTAAAATTAGGTTGTTATTACCCCACTATCAGCTTTTCAGTAAAATTGAACAAATTAAAGTATGGTTGCCACTCACGCGAAACATTTCACAAGGACAAGGAATGGATACATAATGGACTATATTGCATAAAATTCATGAAAAGGGTACATATGATGATGCGAAATCATGTGCTATATATAACATGGAACCAGTCCAACGGCCTGACGTTACAACATGTACTACATGTGATACAAGAAGCTATAGATACTGTGACGCTACATATTATATTTTGTACCTCATACCGTATGGCAAAATAGCAGATCATAACGTTACACAAGCAACATGTGACGATGAATAATGAGCCTGCACCATGTAGGACATATAATGTTTGTTATGAGACCCATATGCAGGAGAGACTTATAATCTGTAGAATATATAGACTGTTGGTTGAGACAACCCGGATATATGGTGACATTACGACAAGTAGGATATATAGTGTTTGTCACGAGAGCCTAAATACATAATGGCATTACGACAAGTATGATATATAGTGTTTGTCACGAGGACCTGAATACATAATGGCATTACGACAAGTAGATATATAGTGTTTGTCACGAGGACCTGGATGTATAATGACATTACGACAAGTAGGATAAATAGTGTTTGTCACGAAAGCCTGAATACATAATGGCATTACGACAAGTAGGATATATAGTGTTTGTCACGAGGACCTGGATGTATAATGGCATTACGACAAGTAGGATATATAGTGTTTGTCACGAGGACCTGGATGTATAATGACATTACAACAAGTAGGATATATAGTGTTTGTCACGAGGACCTGGATGTATAATGGAATTACGACAAGTAGGATATATAGTGTTTGTCACGAGGACCTGGATGTATAATGACATTACGACAAGTAGGATATATAGTGTTTGTCACGGGGACCTGGATGTATAATGACATTATATCGTATATGATACAACAGCCAGGACGTATAAAGACTTTAACGCTTGAAAGATATGTAATCTTAAAAGGAGAAACGCATAGGCTTTGAAAGATCTTACACTGTTCAATGTGTGCATATTTCGTTCAATCTGTTTTACAAGAAAGAACTACTGGTGATAGTCACATCTTCTGTAGATGGCTGAATGTCCTGTCACAAGAAACCTTGAGTTGGGTGGGATGGTGTGGGGTGGGGTCTAGTCTGTCTGACAGTCTCCCTGAACCACATTATTTTCCCTACCGCCAATCCCTATCTGCAGTGCCAAAGCCTTAATAAAGCAATTTTAGATTCCCTCAGGTTCAGGTTCTGAATCTCTGGTCTCCCTGGGCCTCTTTTTCAATTTAAATGGGCTTATTTGTTACTATCAAAATTATATATATTCAGAGACTAAGCCTTAGTCTAGGTGGGGTGGGGTACTCTCCAATCAGTAATTGGTGTGACAAGCAACGCGTTGGCCAGTTGTGCAAGTGTTTGGTGCATGTTGAGTTTTGGTTTCGAGTTCATCCCAGATATCCTCTGTCGGGTTCAGATCCGGCTATCTGCAAGGATCCGGCAAGGAGTTGACGTTTGACATGTTTGAAATATCTCAAGCTGCAAGGCGTCCTCTTGGGATGTCATATTCAATATTCAAATATTTCGACAAACGTGTCACAAAATGATGACTGCCGTTTTGGCCTTTTAGAGTAATTGTCATTGTACATGATTGCCACAACTCGCACGTATATTCTTCTTTATGTTTCCTTTTACATTTTCGTGCATTCCTATAAACACTGCTGAACAAAACTAAAAGGGTTTCAGACGGTTGTTTTTGTGTACAACGCCAGTAAAAGAACACAATTGCATTTCTATGGAATGTTCCTCGAATAAACAAAATTCATACACACATTATCACTTGTTACTTTTCTTGACGAGTATTCATATTATATGTCTGTGACGTGCAAACGGGATATATCATACATACACATGCAACATATATGCCGCATAAAAAATCACATATCATACCATTAAACATAAAACCCGTCAGACGATTGGTCATTACATTACATCTTAGATACCGCATTACACTAAAGCCATGCACTGGCACCAAATCTTGTACCTATAATACTGCGTGGAAACCGGAACATATCGAGGCACTACATCGTGTACCTATAATACTGCACGGCAACCAAAACATATCGTTGTACAACACCGTGTACCTATAATACTGCACGGCAACTAGAACATATCGTTGTACAACACCGTGTACCTATAATACTGCACGGCAACCAAAACATATCGTTGTACAACACCGTGTACCTATAATACTGCACGGCAACCAAAACATATCGTTGTACAACACCGTGTACCTATAATACTGCACGGCAACCAAAACATATCGTTGTACAACACCGTGTACCTATAATACTGCACGGCAACCAAAACATATCGTTGTACAACATCGTGTACCTATAATACTGCACGGCAACCGGAACATATCGTTGTACAACACCGTGTACCTATAATACTGTATGGCAAGCAGAACATATCGTTGTACAACACCGTGTACCTATAATACTGTATGGCAACCAGAACATATCGTTGTACAACCTCGTGTACCTATAATACTGCACGGCAACTAGAACATATCGTTGTACAACACCGTGTACCTATAATACTGCACGGCAACCAAAACATATCGTTGTACAACACCATGTACCTATAATACTGCACGGCAGCCAAAACATATCGTTGTACAACATCGTGTACCTATAATACTGCACGGCAACCGGAACATATCGTTGTACAACACCGTGTACCTATAATACTGCACGGCAACCAAAACATATCGTTGTACAACACCGTGTACCTATAATACTGCACGGCAACCAGAACACCATGTACCTATAACACTGCATCGCAACCAGTACATATCGAGGCACAACACGATGTACCTTTAATACTGTATGGCAAGCAGAACATATCGAGGCACAACACGATGTACCTTTAATACTGTATGGCAAGCAGAACATATCGAGGCACAACACCATGTACCTTTTATATCGTATGGCAACCAGGAAATATCGTGGTATTACTTCATGTACACATTATAATGCATGGCATTACGGAAAATAGTCAATGAAATATATGCTGAGCAATAAGTTCTTTGAACTACATTTACGCTTTGGGCTGACTAATGACCGAATCTGAATGATGTAGTTAAAACCAACCAGAGAGATCTATGGCTGAGACCGGCATATAAAACCAGATTAGGAAATAGCGCCTGTTTATAGGCCAACATCGGGATGACACAGTAAGAAGGTATAGTAGGTACAATGGCCTCAAACTCTTCTGGAAATGGACAAAAATAGAATGTATAGCCATTTTCAGGGGACGCGAAGGTGTATTGTTAGAAGAATCTTTAAAACTCATTCAATAGTAGCGTGCACGATAATCTGACGTCATATTTCCTTTGATCGGGAATACATCGACATTTAGACAGCCTGTCTATTATAACACAATTATCATAAAAGCTCACGGAGTGCTCGACGCCACTAAACCTTCAAGAAGCCAGGTAAAGCGTGGTATATGTCGTCAGCTTGTAGAGAAAGTAACTGTCATCACCCTTTGGTCTTCCTTTTCATCAGTGGTCCCAGGACTAACAAATAGTAAGTTAAGAAGTGTTCCTTGTATGTCACGGCGCATCACGAGACGTGGGAGCTACGCCTGAAGTGATGCAGATCTTAGACGTTTACGACTCTCTGAAACAGGGTAATGTGCCTTCCAACCTAGAAATATAACCAGAGCGAATCGGGTTTGAAACCCCAATAATATCTGATGTTGATAAATCTGTGATGCTGGCGATGGTGTGTGGTTGTCTATTGTGTCTGGCTATGGTGTGGACATAAAGGTTGGTGTCGTGTTTGGATGCTGTCTCACCAGTCCGGGTTTATAGGAAACATTCATTACGCAGGTGGTTTGAGAGATAACGGTATTGTTTGCAGTTGTCAAGGTTTCGCTACTAAACCTAAGGCGGAATGTTTACGACAGCGGGGACAAGATAGCTGGCAAACAGCCGCACGTCTTTGGTAAAAATAGCACAATGTCCTTTGATGCTAGGTGAACACGTATTTTCTGTTATTGAACCTCTGTTGTTTTCAATTTCTTGACGTATCAATCTTCGTTAAAGACGGATCTTGGAAACTTTGTCTTTTATTGTGTTGTAAGAGCAAACAGTGAACACCAAGCACTCTTTGGTTGGCCGTTGCCTACATGTATTTTAAAACGATACTGCCTCACTATCATAATGGATGCTGCAGATATAATCGTATTTAGGCGGTGTATCCGAACAGTCATCTATGTAGGAGTAGCACGACGCACTTATAATTAGGTAGGTATATTTTAAGGTATGTCGTGATGAGTTAGCATACCTGCATGTACATAGAACAACGCTGAGTAGAGTATTCACGCGTATGACGTCACACTTGCTTGAATAAACTACCCCAGAAACGTAACGTGTGGACGAGTTCAAAGGGACGGGGTTTGTTGTTACGTCATGAAGCTCTCCGTGACATGACGCACCCAAGTAACAGGACCAAGGTGACGTGTCGGATGCCCACATAATACCCGATCCCTTCGCCAGGCAAGGAATACGCCTTATTGTAATCGGCGGGTTTTAATCTAAATACTTTCAAACTTCTCTTTAATCTCCCCGGAGAGTAGTTTTTACTCAACCCATTTTCAGGCCGTGGAAAATTGGACTGGAATCTGTATTGATTTTTCCAAGTTGCTGGCAGAGCGTGGATGATGCGACAGCAATGGTTTATGGATTATAGCAAAACGTATGTTTGAACAGCGAGGAAATCCCGTGCTAATATACCATTAAAATGTTTGCTTACAAGAAATGTTAATTGATTCATTTAGGTCAGAGGGGCACACTTGAATCCCCAACAAGTTGGAAAACAACAATCGGATGTATGTAGGTGATCTGTGGTTGGACGTGATTGTCACAGTGTACAAGACGCTGGACGTGTTTCGCTTCGTCTCCCCGTCCACACGCACAGCTATAACGCTCGCAGTTGCCACCACAGATAACCGAATGGTTTAATGAAGATATTTCATTCACGCTTGCACTGGGAGTGAAACGAAGCGTACATCTCATTCTGCTCATCGACAGAGCCGAATAACATAGTCACAATCAGCGACAAATTGCAACGATTTTTTGTTCGCTGGCTACAGTTTTGGAAGCTAATCCAGAGAAGGGCTGCACTTTAGGTTGTGCTAACACTCAACGGCAACACGTGTTAAGGGCCGCTTGTGTCACTGGTCCCTGCGCCTCGCCATCTAACAGTCATCATGGGCCGAAGTGGTTAGCTACCTAACATCTGCCAGCTATTGTGTTCGTGTGTTTTACCGGATTTAGCATGCTGGAATCCTTGGTTCACAACATCACTCACACCTTCGACCGACTTCACATCGCATTTCAACAGGTAAGGTATATATTTATCACTTGATGTGCAGGGTTGTTCAGTGCAGTTACAAGTACATTAGTATTGCTCGTGTATCGATACAATGCCACAGTAATGGAGGATTTCTGTCAGGCATATCGCAGATGTCGCCTATGGTGAGTACGGTTATCTGTCCTGGTATCTGGAACGCCTCGTAGTAATGTTGCAGGTGGGTTGTGTTTTGTTGTACACTAATGGTTGTACTGGAAGGTTAGGCTGCAAGATGCCACACACAATATAAGGTTCAATAGTATACAACTAGCCATTCAGCATATAAATATACATACACATGCACAAATGTGAATATGATGGCAAGAGGGTTCATATTTACGCCATCATTATTGATCGGAAGAAGATATTTGAATGTTTGAGTAAACTACAAGGCTCGTAGTAATGATTTCCCAGGCTGTGTAGTAGCATCTGACGTCTCGGTCATTCCGGTTAGGCACCATCTAGGCAGTCCCATACATCCTAACATTGACATTTATCCGTAGGTAAATTGATTCCAGTTCAGTACGCCCACATGTGGAAACGGCAAGGTATAACAGTTATTTCTCTTTGTCATATTTGTTGCATTGTGATAAATATATATTTCAAGCAGTATATTCAGGTATCGAACTAGGACTGCACATGTTTATACAACCCTATTTGCTGTTATATAATGCATGTGTGACCTCAATCATAATGTGTCTCATGTATAGCGTTAAGAACTGAATGAACACAACTCGCCCAGTTTCCACACAGAGCATAATGCAAAATTGATACAATGCTACAGCAGTAGGTGCTTACATTATTCAGTGAGGTTCTCGTGTCGCCTTCGTGGTAGCATCGATTGCTGTGATGATTGCTTAGTCGATATGACCTGCACGAATAAGGAGAACAATACACTACAATTCGGCTCCAACACAGCAGTTCAAACACATTAAAATAACACCGAGACAATGCCAGGACAAAACCACGCAATGAAGGGCCAATTCGCAGTTAAGGTGATGGGCGTGCTGCGGGCTGTTGATGTAATGGATTCTCAACATCTACACAGATGTCACCATATTTGCGTCGTGCAAAAGTATTGACAATAAAAGTTCTATTGTTAGCGGACAAGCCACATCAGGATATTGATCGCACAGTGTCATGTGTTCACGTGAATCATTGCTCTCATTCCGGAAAATGTTCAGTTGCTGGGAAGCGCGTCATATCGCGTCTGATGTACATTGTATAGAACAGCGTCGGTTTACACCAAAGGCTACATGACACGTACACTGACCCTTCGCATACAACAAGTACATGCTATTTGCCAAATAAACATGACTGCACAGCATTTGGTTAATGGTGACACGCCATGTCATCAAACACACGGCGCTGGGGGATGACGCAAAACATTGTCGAGAGATATGAAACATTAAAGAATATCCCCAAGAAATCTGACTACATTTATATCTAGATGTGATCCCGAGTCACCTGCTCATGTATACCACTGTGAGTTTCCCATAGATCAGGTTTTGATGATATAAAAATATCACCCAACAAATAAATGTTGAATTATCTCTATATACAATACCTAGGTAAGTCGTGAGCACCTTAATGTCATGATGAACGGATAGATGCATGCAGTTATCAGTTACACGATGAGCACGGCCTACTTGGATGTGTCTGACAGAATCGCTGCACATGATTTAGGGTGCACAAGAACATTTGCTACTACAGGTTGTAGCAGCTGAATGCAGTGTCAAATGCGTTCAAAACTGAAGGATTAGGAAGACGCCAAGGTATTGAAACAATGGCAATACGTCACGGTGCAATCGTCTTTGACGTCAGCAAATGGGTGACCAGCAGGACATGCACTCGACATGCAGCTACATGCGATAGCCGACGGCAGTTCGCAATACAGCGGTTAGACAAGATATTTCCTGAATTCAGCAAGTCGGCATCGGTGCTTGCTATCACACTCAGAAATGACCTGCAGAAAGCACTGACCTCAACTTTTCTAATTAGATAATTCTACTTAATCTCCTTGAGACATGTCTCAGTTCACAGAGGGTATCACACAGACCCGACATCACAAGCAGGCACATTTGGCTTTGGCTGAAGATCACGGCAGTTGGACATACCAGGACTGGCCTCCAGTACATTTCAATGATGAGTCGCGTCAATGTCGAGACTTCACTGATCGCCTCAGTGTGGCTTAAACAAGATTCAGGATTCCAAATAGCCGAACATGACATGGAGTGGCCATTCCAGTAACAAGACGTCAACGAGCTGCAGACTTGCCCTCGCGGGATGCTCTTCCCTTTCTCCAACTCTACAGGAACTTGGAAATGCTCTTACTGAAGCGAGGAACAATCTTCCCTTGGCAACCGTCCAGACTCATATTGGGGACATGAAACAGCGGCGCCAGGCTGTTGGTACGCCGGGTGGATCACAAACGCGGGACTTTTTTTCAAAATAATATGTTTTCATGAGTTTCATGGCCCTCATTTTGGCTGTTGAACTGACTGATTGTTGGTCACAGGCTATTTTATTGGCGTTGTGGGACATATCACAACCTGTTAAAAAACTTGTTCATTAAGCATGTCTTCACGCAATATTGCCTTTCACTATTTCAACAGACGTACACAGTTTGACCTTTACCTTCCAAGGTGGTGATCCCCGGCAATGTTTTCAATAGTGTATTACAGGAATGTTAACAGAACGATGGGTGAAGTGACATGCGCACACTAATGGGGATTTTGTTATACAGTGAAATCTAAATATTTCACAAAGGTTTTATCTGTCTCCCTCTCTTTCTCTCTCTCTCCTCTCTCTCTCTCTCTCTCTCTCTCTCTCTCTCTCTCTCTCTCTCTCTCTCTCTCTCTCTCTCTCTCTCTTTTTCTATCTATCCAGCTATCTATCTCTCTGTTCAGTGTTAAGTTTGGATATTCTTGGTAGCGTGCACTCATATGCTAATAATTTGCAATGTACAGCATGGACGATTTCTTGTTAGCGGCTTTCAAACATGAGATACTCTATAATGACGAATATACTGTATATCAACAACACCCCAGGAAGCTCTCCATTGCTGGTCGAAAGCCTGCTTTCCTTGTCTGATCAAATCCTTTAGTATCAAACGTTGTTGACCAGTCTCCCTTACAGCACTTCCTATCATATTAGCCCCAAACAAGCGTTATAGATTGGCTCTGGATTGGATTGCTAATGAGGATATCCGTTCCAAACATGACTTTTAACTTTCGTCAGAGATGTTGACAAATATCGCCCCTCCTCCTTGCTCCTTTGACCCATGCTGCCTACAGTCTCCAGCCTCGTCTTCCCCGGAGTACAATGTTGACTACTTGATACGTTATCGATCGGCTGCCTCACACTGCTTCTATAATAACCACTACGCGCCTGGTCAAGGAGGATCCCTCGAAGCTCCCATAATATGTTGCCTCTACTCTCATACAAGCCGCTTATTTACGATCCTGACAGTGATTGGGGCTTGAATAATGCAAGACCCATCATTCCTAAGAATACGCAGACAGTATAATTTCAATACCAAAGCGAGATAACTCCATCTGTCGTGTGAGGACGACGATTGGCACGAATGTTGCTCGCACCCGAACACAGCACGCAACGTTGTCGGTCATTAATTCCAAGGGAGATAACTGTCATCCTCCACGGTGTCATTTTATGTCAGGTTCCGGTTTAGCTGGTACTGATTGTTTTGTAATCTAATTTAAAATCCCCCATAAGAGAAATTAGTCGCAAATACCATGAACGTTGTTGGATCTTCATTAAAACACGTATAGTTTCTGTCGCAGTCTCAGGCGTGCTCAGAGCATACCCAGAAGAAGGGAGAGTGTCTGCGGATGAGGTTAATATCCCTTATTATGTGATGTACGTTGAGGAGGCGATTTGTAACTGAGAAATTACTCGTAAATTGCTATAACCGTCTCCTCATGGTCAACAAATCTTTTCCTTGTGATTCCTTTATATTGCCCTGGATCCCACAGTTCCTACACACAAACAGGCTATCCGCGTGCAGTGTGCATTTCTACACAAAGATATGCTCTCCACGTGCAGTGTACATTTCTACACAAAGATAAGCTCTCCACAAGCAGTGTGTATTTCTACATGCAGATATGCTCTACACACGAAGTGTGTGTTTCTACACACAAATATGCTCTCCACATAGTGTGTGATTATACATACAGATATGCTCTCCACATGCAGTGTGTGTTTCTACACACACAAATATGCTCTCCACATGCAGCGTGTTTCTACACAAAGGTATGCTCTCCACGTGCAGTGTGTATTTCTGCATACAGATATGCTCTCCACATGCAGTGTGTATTTCTACATGCAGATATGCACTCCACATGCAGTGTGCATTTCTACATACAGGTATGCTCTCCACATGCAGTGTGTATTTCTACATACAGGTATGCCCTCCACATGCAGTGTGTATTTCTACATACAGATATGCTCTCCACATGCAATGTGTATTTCTGCATACAGATATGCACTCCACATGCAGTGTGCATTTCTACATGCAGATATGCTCTCCACATGCAGTGTGCATTTCTACATACAGGTATGCTCTCCACATGCAGTGTGTATTTCTACATACAGATATGCTCTCCACATGCAATGTGTATTTGTAAATGCAGATATTCTCTCTACATGCAGTGTGCATTTCTACATGCAGATATGCTCTCCACATGCAGTGTGCATTTCGACATACAGGTATGCTCTCCACATGCAGTGTGTATTTCTACATACAGATATGCTCTCCACATGCAATGTGTATTTGTAAATGCAGATATTCTCTCCACATGCAGTGTGTATTTCTACATGCAGATGTTCTCTCCACATGCAGTGTGTATTTCTACATACAACAATGCTCTCCACGTGCAGTTTGTATTTCTACACACACCAATGCTGTCCACGTGCAGTGTGTATTTCTATATACAAATATGCTCTGCACTTGCAGTGTGTATTTGTACATA